TTATTAATTAATTCATACTTTTCCTTACATAATTTTTTATATTAATTCTAGTTTTAATTAATTTTTGCAGTTTCCTAACATATTTATTAATTTTTATATATTTCTTTAATTTTCTTCTACTGCATATATTCCTTTCTGCTTTTCTTGATGTGACAAAATCATCATCAGTCAAATCGATTGTTGTGGAATGTTGCAATGTTTTTGAAGATTTATATTCTATGAGTTCATTGAACAGACTTTGAGTTTGGGATACTTACAAATCATCTGAGTATTGTTTTGATTGTACAATCTGCTCATTAGCCTTACTTAACTGTAATTGCAATGCAGCAATTAATCTGAGGGACTCCTCATATTCCTTACTGCATTGGTCAAACTCATGGACTGTTACCTGATGCTGATCCCTTTCTTTTAAAATATTTGTATAGTCTTTATGCAACTTAACCATATCACTTTTTAGTTGAGTATTTTTGGCAATTATATTTATTATTTACTTTTCGTTGTCATCCCTTTCTTTAAGCAACAGCTCACACTGCTCCTTTGACGCCTTAAGTTCCAGAAGCGCCATTTGAAGTTGGTTCTCCATTTAGCGCGTTTTGACGTTGCGTGTATTCAATTTACTATTATGTGTAAATAGCAAAATAAAACAAAGAAAGAAAACCGAAGAAACAGAGTAAGCTAATATGTAGATCAATGGGTCTACTTACAGATCTCAAATTAAATTATCAGGTAAATAATTCAAATTGAAATCCGAAACAGCACTTATTTAAAAGGTAAATCTTAAAATATGAAAGGGATAACAAGAATTACAATAACTTACAGAAAGTTTAAACGATACAGCTGTCACTTTTAGTTGAACCACAAAACACTATTTAATTAAAATACTTATAACTGGTTGCGCGGAAAACCATTCGTATTTTTATTTTATTTGACGGTATGCTTGCCAAGCGTTGTCCTTCCTTCGACCTATCCCTTCCGTACACACCGGGGTGGTGGGTGAGAGGGGAAAGAAGAGTTTCTAGAATGTTGCGTGATTCTCGCAACCAATGCGAAGAGCGCTCGATTTCGGTGGGAAAGAAGCCGATATAAGCTCGCGCGCGGGGCTCGAGCGCTCTCTTACCTTTGCGCCGATAGTTGAAACCACACCGCCTGGGACAGTCGCGTCCTAGAGGGCTCTTGCACACGCGCACCGCTAGTTTCAAACCGCACCAACCTGGAGCAGTCGAGCTCCAGGAGTAACCGTCTCACCTAGTGTGAGATATCGTCGCGCACCGCTCTCTTCCATTGCACCACCGACCAAGACCGCATCTCTGGGGCCCCAGGAGATCCGCCAGAAGTAGCACCGCAGCAACGGAAGCGTCCAAGCCGCGTCGAAGTCACACCCCGGTAAGTTCGCTTCTTTTCCTATAACGCCTGCTTGAGTATTTGTGTTTTGTTAATTAATCCGCCCCAATTTCATTTCTCTTAATGTGCTCAAGCAGGATTCCTTCATAACCTTGGCAAGCAATAGGTTTTTTTCGGAAGAGTACGACAATGCATGCATTGTCAAGTAAAAAAACCAAATCCGCCATCTTGTTTAGGCATCATCCGCGTATACAGTCCATATAGTGTAAACATTTCGCGTAACAGGGCCAAGGCTCGGCCGGAGAATCGGAACTCGGGAACCCTTAGGCCCGCCGCCCAACCAATAACTTTTATTTATTTTACAAACACAATTAAATCTTATTTAACAACTGTAACCAGAAATTGAGGTGGCTATTATCAATTTAAAATATTTAATTTTGCTAAATATTTGGGAGCTATTATTTTACAACTTGTCACTGGGGTTGCCACAGAGTAAGCCTCAAAAAGGCCATCAAATGTAATATTCCTCTACAGGAATGCAGGTGTGTACAAGCTAGATTGTGAATGTGGTCTCTCTTATATAGGTCAAACAAAAAGATCTATAAAAACCCGCCTGAAGGAACATATAGCTGACGTGAAGCACCGGCGCTCCGGAAGTCTGCAGTCTGCGAACATGTTCAAGATCGTCCCCACCATTACATTCGATTTGATAAACGATAAATGCTCGCAAAAGAACACCGATCCTACCAAGAATGATACGCGATTCTATTGAAATTAAAAAAAACATCCAAATTTCAGATTATCCAATATTAATCCAAATTAGAGAAGATGGATGGGTGCTGCCACCCGCTTGGGATCCTATAATTAACAAAATTAAACTCAAACCCAAGCATACCACTGCAAGACTTCATGATACTAGAAGCTCGTTTTGCATTAATCGGACCAAAAATTAATATTCAAAAACTGAAGGTAGCCAGACTAACTATGACATTGGGACATCAAACACCTCAGTCTCCCCCGTGACCATGGGTCCAAAGCACCCGAAACATCGGGATAATAAAAATAAATGAAGTAATTAAACTCTATAAAATTCGTAAATAATAGTTTTATTCAATTACATAATCTCTTTCAGGTTTGTGTACCACTTTGTTCGTCGTTCGTTGCCCATGCATGGAGTTCGTCGAATTATTTGGTAAGGTACAATTTTGTTAGTTATTAGTAACACTATTGTTTACAGCCATGATGTATCTATATGGCAGATGTCGAATTCTATCTGTCCAAATCTTAGAAACAGGAAGCTTTTGATTATTCAAAGATGTTTCTCACCTCCTCATTGTAATTAATTTTCATCCTGTAAAATTATACATACCCCAAAAACACCGGAACCATTTTCCTCAAATGCTCCTTACTGTACTGTAGTTTGAGATTAATCATTTTTTTTATGAAAAAAAGGTGACAAATGAGCACACAGTCCACCTGATGCTAAGTGGATACTGTGAAGTCCACATGATGTTAAGTACGTGAGAAAGTGGAATCTGCTTCTTCCTTAACCATCGTTCACATTAGCCTCTGGTTTTACCTTCAATAATTCATAAATTTGAATTTGAAAATACAAGGTATATAAAGAATAAGTATATCGAACTTCATACTTCCTAATAATTAAAAGACGAGAGATTGCCGTAACAGTAATATTTACAATTGAGTGAAAAATTTTGCAATAAACTTCCGAAATGCACAAAATACCGAAATAATTAGTCGTTAGGCAAGTTTATTGTGATTTTTCTATAAATATATTTCTGCTGCTAGGTAAAATACTTCTAAATTTAATTCTTTTTTAAAATAAATTATCGAAATAAACAAACGTAAAGACTTTTAGGAACTAGATTTTTTATCATTTGGTCGCATTTTGTTAAAGATTGTTTTGAAAAGTTCTTTTTGCGGTTTATTAAGTTTGTCTTTTAAAACTGCTTGACGCTAAACTGTCGACGTTTTCTTTGCCTTTGAGTCTCTTTTAGCTTTCTCGAGTTTTATTAGAAATGATAAGCATTTTACCATTAATATTTCAATCATTCATTGAATTTAAGTTGAATATCGCAATACCAAATACTTTGTATAAAATAACTTAGAAAAGAACTTAACTTGAAAGCGAAATGTTGGAACCGCTCATTCAAACTTTTTCTGACGTAGTTGAGCAGGCTATTGCATTTTGATTCAGGGACAAGAGAGGTTAAGGGTGCTTTGGCAGTTACAATTGTGGCCAGAAAATTCGACAATGTATTTTTTATTAGATCTATTACATTAAAGCATTAAACTTTAAAACTTTAAAAACACTTATAATGTAAAGTTTTTCCTTTATTGTAATACTTAGTTTTAATGTCAGTTAATATATTCCGCGGAGAATAGAACTGTATGGTAATTTAAGTTTTTAGTTTTAGTTCTTTTACTTGGTTATTAATATTGTATATTTGACATAAGACAAAAACACTCACGCCTGTCACCCAGAGGGGTAGGCAGAGACTACGGACTTCCATTTGGCACGATCCTGACATACCTCTTTCGCCTCCTTTACATCCATATATCTACGCATACATGCTCGTCGGTTAAGGGTACTTCTAACGTGGCCTATTTTCAAAATATCGCCAATTTGTTCGATAAACATTTTTCTAGGGCGTCCCTTCCCGACTCTGCCATTCACATACGCCATATAAATTTGCTTTGTCACTCTTTACTCATTCATTCTTTCTACATTACCATGTATATTTGAATGTTATGTATATAAGTTATTTCATTATGGATTTGTATTATACTCTATGTACCTGAATTTTTAGAAACATATAATATATTTTGTTTTAATGCTATTCCTTAAAGTCTGAGGATTTGCAGTCCAACTCATGATATGTGGCAACTACATCTTAGTAATATCTATAACTATTTTCAAATAACGAAAGCCAAAGATACGTACTTTTCCCCAGGAATAGAAAAAATTTGGACCCATGGGTGTCGTACCGCGTACACTTCGATGGGATAAAATGCGAAACGCAAAGACTTAAGAAAATGCCAAAAAGATCTCATTGCTAACGACAGATGGCTGTACAACCATCTTGATTAAGCCAAACGTAAAATATACCGTTGTGTTACGAAGAACTGTGTGAAATGTTTGTGAGACCTGATTAAGTTAAAAAGAAAAGAAAAAAATATTTTCGTCAACTATACGAATATAAACGAATGTACATCGTGAATGATTTCCTTGGTATGTGTGGAAATCAATGAGTAACTATATTACTAAACCGATCCAAGTTAAATATTCAAAATTTAAATCTATTACAGACTAGTGCTTGTTTTGACAATTTTGAAATTAAGTTATATATATATATATATATATATATATATATATATATATATATATATATATATATATATATCAATCAATATTTCAAACTATATTTTACAATTTGGTACTGTGTGATAGTGATGAAATTGGTCTGATGTGATATTTTGTGCCACATTAACGTTTTCAAAAAAAAAAAAACAATAAGTATATTATATTTGTCGTAGGTACTTCTTAAAAGTATTATTGATATTTAAATAAAAGTAGTATCGTACGGATTTTATCGCGAATATTTGAATATCAAACGAACTTACCAAGTGAAGTTCGATGACAATTATGTGAACGGTTTCATTCGAAGCGATTTATTGTTAACGTATTGTAGTAGCACCTCCATGTATTAGGCTTGCACGGATTTTTTAAAGTAATTTTTTTTTGTATGGTATCCCTACTAATGCTGGCAATAGGCCTAATGGCTTGGGTTGCGTGTTCCTGTTTGAGTCATTATGTTTAAAGCTATTCAAAACATTTCACATTTTGATGATAGTGGCAAGCTAGGGCAGGGTATTTTGTTTTTATTATTTAAGTAACAGTTTATTTACATTTTTAGGGAGGGTATCTATAAATCGCTTCGAATGAAGCCGTTCACATAATTGTCATCGAACTTCACTTGGTAAGTTTGTTTGATATGCAATTATGTTTCACGGCTTCATTCTTTGCAATTTATTGTTAACGTTTTGTAGGACGTTTAAAGGATAAAATGTGAAATAATATAAGCAGGTAAGTTATCACACATGTAATATACATTTAAATATTACTATGTTAATTTGCTTAATTACAATATTAAAAATAATCAATAACACAATTTTATTTCGATTACAGGTTACAAACGGCAGTATGTATTGTTGTGGCATACAAGAAATTGGTATCTGCTATTGTTTGTTTATTATAAAACTTTGAAAAGACAGAAGAGGAATCGGACCAACCGGCAGTTTTTCTAATTACCTCAATATTGACTCCGTGTTTATTAGCTGCGGATTTAGACGCGAGTGATGAGTGCTATGTGCACTGAATATGGAAGTATCTATGCCACTGTCGTAAAGTGTATCTTTTATCCAGCGGCCGAGAGTCTGAGATGTTATATTCGAATGTGGGCGGTTGAAACTAATAAAATGTTAATTTATTTATTAGTTTAAAACGAAGCAATTGAGTTCTATTGATGTAGGTTTCTAAGCAAGTTGCGGGACATATAATAGAGCGAACATTAAAATAAGGTGATTCGGGAAGATTAGAGACTTGGAGAATAAATATGGTTGAGTGTTTAAGGGGAATTATTTAGAACTATGGTTGAGTCCCACGTCAAATGATACTTTGGATAAGTTATATTTATAGGTTAAGGCCCTTAACCTACAAACTCCTTTCATGAATCGTTTAAGTCTATCGTCATGAATTAAATTACCTAGCCATAAAGATAATGCCGATTTGTAAGAGTTAATAGTGCCATACTTGGCACCCTTATTAAACACAATGGAAAGATAATGAAATACTGCAGGAACAGAAACTGCAGAGCAATCATAACCTTGTATTTTACAATATTTTATCCAATTTTTAATACTTTCATCATATTGTTTATATGTTGAATCAGATAAATAAGACAATATAACTTCTACTGATCTCGAGGACAAACATCTATTAAATAAAGTTTTCCTGAAAGCCTCGCGGCTACTAAGCTCAAGGTGCGGTGCAGGTTATGAAACATTTTGAAAGGAGACCATAACGTGTCTATTTGGTTTAAAAAATATATTCGCTTGCAACAAATTAGTTTTTGGAATACTGGGAACCAAGGTTGCGTAGGCTAGTACGGTACGGTACTAGAATGCTTTCTACTCTTTCATTAAACTTTTTGTTTAATGATTTCTTAAATTTACGCGAACAATACACATTAAATAAAACTAAATTTCCGGATTTTATCACGTTTATTTCACTACTTTTACTTATTTTTAATTGGCGACGTTTCGGGTGCTTTACAGCACCCATGGTCACGGGGGGGGATGTTTGACGTCCCAATGTCATAGTTAGTCCGGCTACCTTCAGTTTTTGAAAATTATTTTTTTTATAATTTTTTTTTAATTTTTGGATATTAATTTTTTTTTATTTTTTTATTATTTTTTAATACAATTTTTTTGCTATAAGCTCGTTTTGCGTAAATCGGACCAAAAATTTATATTCAAAAACTGAAGGTAGCCGGACTAACTATGACATTGGGACGTCAAACATCTCAGTCCTCCCCGTGACCATGGGTGCTGTAAAGCACCCGAAATGTCGGGAATTAAAAATAAGTAAAAGTAGTGAAATAAACGCGATAAAATCCGTAAATTTAGTTTTATTCAATGAGCTTTGTTATTAGTGAAAAGGGTGGAAATGCGTAGAATAACATTTTTCCAAGGAATGGTAAAAGTTTCAGTGGCCCAGGCATCAGGGTAATTTTTCCCAAGCAATATATTTATGGCATTTAGCATTGCGTCTGCTAGCAAAAAGATCTATATCTGGGTAACCGTAGCAAAGAGTTTATTTATTAAATGCCTTATCATGAAGTTCCCATTCAGTGCCCAAAAATAAAGTTTTAAAATAAGAAATTATGAGACATTTGATCTGTTTCGTAGTTGTCTAGTAAAATACTGAAATCGTCCCGAAAATACCTCGTCTATGTCCGGCGAGACATCGTTCGCTTGTGGGACGGCGGGTGGTGGGAAGTGTTGGCTGCCTGCTGCGGTGCGTCCCGCGGGCGTGGGGTTTGCCTCTGCCCTTGCCTTATGTTGTAAGTTTGCGGCTGCAATTTATTATCTACCTTGTGATGTTGGTTTTGGTAGTTTAAATGGCCAGTGTTTCTGGTGGTACTGAAACTAGAGCGGGTAAGTGTTAATAGACGAAATTATGAAACCTCTACGTGTTCTTCATTTCATTAAATGACTATCGCAAAGAATGCAACAGGCGTCGCTTAAAGGTTTTAAAAGTTTTTTTTTTTTTGATTTCGTCTTCACTTTTTTTTTTTTTGATTTCGTCTTCACTTTTTTATCTGTTTTCTTTTTCTTCTAATTTTTTGCCAAAAATTAGTCAACTTTTGTATTGTACAATAAGGCTAGAGAGACGTGCGAAGCCTTGAGCACGGAGATACAGAATGACTCGAACAGGAACACGCAACCCGAGCTAGGCAAACGTAGTATTGCCAGCATTAGTCGAGATACCATACAAAAAAAATGTTACTTTAAAAAATCCGTGCAAGCCTAATACATGGGAGTGCTACTACAATACGTTAACAATAAATCACAAATAATGAAACTGTGAAACATAATAACTTATTTTATATTCCCGACGTTCCGAGCATTTTACAGCACCCATGATTACGAAGGACTGAGGTGTTCGACGTTCCAATGTCATATTATAACCACAGCTACCTCCAGATTAAAATTATTAATTTTTGTTCCGATCTAAGCAGTATGAACTTATAGTATCTTGTAGTCTTGCAGTTGTATACCCTATCATCTGTGAGGAAATCAACATGAAAATTGTCATGTCTGTGGTGGCTGAATTCAGCCACATCACAGACTTATTTTTCGCTCTAAGTATATAAAAACTATAATATCTTAGTTCTATTTTAAATTAACGTTTTATTTTCTTTATCTATTACTCATACTTGATTTCTGTTGCTATTTTTTAAATTATACAACTGCAATAATAAAATAAATCTGTAATTATATAATATTTTAATGATATTCATTTATATTTAAAAATATAAATAAATAAACGTTTAATAATAATAAGCATTTAATTACATCAGCAATACATATTTTATCAGATCTATCACAAAAAACCAATGCTTTTTTTACAATTTTTTTTCAGCAAAACAATGTTCTGCTGAAAAAAATAAGTGACCTCCACATTTTTACGTTCTTTAGACATTGCTAGTATTAACGTATACTATACCACAGAATAAATAATAGCACTACGTACAGAAGTTTCACTCTTTTGATGTTGACTGCTTGCCGACGTTTAATATCCTACATAATTATTATTAATAAGATAAATTGCGCACGCAATCTAAATAAACCTTTATCCCTGCTTCCGCTGTTTTACTTTGTATTTTTTCCTCTTTCTATATCACGACTGTTTTTCCGTGGTTACTTAGAGCTGTCAAGAAGGAGGAAAAAATACAGTATGTATTACATTAATAATTTATTTAATTTACAATTGTTTTATTTAAAATATAATGGTTTTTTGCCGTCTCTAAAATACCGGTTAACGCTCCCTTTCTTTTAAATTCTGTCTTCAAATTGAAAAGGAATTGCCACATTGAAGCACTGTGGTGGAACCCGTTAACTCCCAGGTTCGATTTCTGACAGCGACAATTTGGAAGTTTATAATTTATTTAAAAATATTTGTGTTTATTTTTATTTAAGTATATGGTTTAATAATAAAAACTGCAATGTTAGCCCGCTTATAACTATGACTGCTTCATCACCATTCGCCAGGCGCAATCGCATTGAATACCATAAATATCAAGAACAACTCAATATTCAAGAACAATTTGTATTAAAATATAGGTATGAATAAGAATCACTAACTTCTCCAATTCCACGCTTATCTTCAATGGTGATTTGATTCCACCTTTATTTAAGTGGAATATAGGAACAGGGAATAATATCCGCAGAGAAAAATAATATAGTGATATTCCACTATATTAAAACACATATGTAAGTAGGTACTTATTTAGCTTATAATATGTATTAATATATGCTTGTTTATCTACTATTTATGCACACTTCTATTTACGTATTTCCTTCACCAAGACATAGAATAAATAATATGTAGTACCACGTTACCAAGTTTTGCCTGGAAGAGATTACTGTTTAGCGATGAGGCCACCTAATTGTACTTAGATTTATAAATTAAGGGTGATGTGTTATTTTTATATGTTGTGTGCAATAAAAATCGTATTTAAGGGCGCTGCAAGACGCGGTCAGAGCAGTATTGAATATGGCGAGACAAGCAAAGCTTCGGAGCGAAATAAAGTGAATCAGTGTGATTAATTATTAGTGACTTTTAAGTTTTAATTGGTGTTCGATTAGTTTTCGTTTGTAATTCAATTCATTCGTTCGATTGTAATTCAATCGGCAGTTTTTATTGTCACGAACCTCAAGCTCGTAACACTATTAAGGCTGCTGGGGGTGAACTCCCCGCTTACCAATGGATCGGGGGGACCACCCTGGGGAATAGATTCTTTGTTGCACTGTATGTTTGGTATCCTTTTTTGTACAGGATGTGTTCTCTCAACACCTAACCCACCAAAGGCTTGGGACTGGGCTACTCCCCAGCCATTCATCGCACTGGCACCTTAGATCTTAGGATTAGGATTATTTTTGTAGAGGTTTTCTTCCTGACAGCACTGCGGGGGCCCCCGATTTCTAGTGGGTTTACGGGTCCGGCATAGGTGCGCTTGGCACATTGCCACACAGAATTCGACCGGAATTGGTGCGCTTGGTACATTTCCGCGCGTTTTTCATCCCGTGTTGGCTCTAATCAAAGAACGATACCAGGAGCAACGACAAGCCTGTGAAGGTTCGTCTCTTAGGGTATTGAGCCCCATGTAACTTCACCCTGTCTTACACCTCTCTGCAGTGGGATAGGCTTCGTACTTTACTTCTGTACTCAAATAGCCATCCTAGCCCTACCGTACAGACACTTGAGCACTTCGATATACCGACAGTCAACTTGGCAACGCTGAAGGGACTGTCTGGAAATTTGTAATAACTCTGAAAAACAGCATGTAGCCGCAGCTTAGAAGGGAAATCGGTCTGTAGTTATGAAAGTTATTAAAAGTTGTCACATTTCTTTAAAAATAATACATATTCTTGAAAAATAATTCCACCGCACTTCTGCTACACGCTTTTGGATTAGTGCACTACGGAGGAGGAGTTAAAGAATTTCTGAAGGACTTCAATTAGTGGTTTTTTACCCACTTTCAGAGGCTCCTATGTAATTCCATCTTCGCCCAGGGACTTGCCGTTTTTATAACGCTGGAAAGTTATTCTAATCTCGCTCAGACTGACGTCCAGGATTTCATCGGAATAGTGTTACATAAGACTTTCTCTTGAATTGTTACTCCCACTTGCGTGTGGCTCCAACGATGACATGTTCAGCTGCTCAAAAAGCCTCTCTATCTCACTCAAAATCTCAGGTGTCTGGAAACGGTGCTGCCTCACAGGGTTTTCAGCTTCAACATGCGCCACTAGTGCTGGCCGCTCTATTGTGCACTTCCTTAGAAGAAGACTTCTACTCCCCCTTCTCCCTTTCTGATAAGGTGCACCAGAATACCATACACGCCCTCCATTGCGGCCCCCGACTCCACCTTCACGTCGTTCCTCCCGAGTCTGATAGACTGAGGCCTTGGAACCAGGAAATTTGAGCATTCGGAAGTACTAACTTTCCTGACCCCTGTGGAGGGTCTGGTTATAATAATAATAATAATAATATATTTTTAATTCAGACCATAGTCCATATAAAAATGTGTTAGTAAACAATTAACTTATATAACTATGTTAATACAAAATGTGTTAGTGACTATTACTTATGCTATGTTAGTCCTTAATCTACCTTAACCTATTCAGCACCAGCGTGGGCGCTGAGGCCTAGTGCCGGTGTGCACATCATTCCAGCTCCTCCAGAGAGGGCTGTCTAGCTTAGAGGCCAACGCGCTGAGGAGGGTGTTAGTGCTTCTCACAAGCCTGCTCATCATGGACGCGGCACGCTTTCGCACAATCGCGTAGAAATCATCCACACGACTGTCCGCAAACATTGCCGACGCACTGCAGTTTCGCGGCTTCCTCAACACCGCCCTCAGCACATTGTTGTATTGCACTCTCAGGGCGCCGTAGGTCCGCTGCGAATAGCCCGTCCACAGACTGCACGTGTAGAACGATTGGCAGTAAGCTTTAAACAACGTTATCTTAACCTGCTTTGTACACCGTGCAAATCTGCGGGCCAACATGTTGCCTCTCACCGCCAGCGCCCGGCGCTCGCGTTGAATGTCGCTGTCATCCTCCAGGCTGTCGGTTACTATATGGCCAAGGTACCTGAACTCAGTAACCTGTTCAAGGGGACACCCACATAGTTGAAAGGTGGGTTTCAATATGGGTAGCTTATTTTTCCCCTGAACACAAGAAACTCACTTTTATTGGAGTTGTAACTGAGTCCATGTACCTCAGCATACCCTTCACAAATTTGTATTAATCGCCTAAGACCACTGATTGAGGGGCCCAACAGAACCATGTCGTCAGCATAACTAATGTTGTTTATACTGACCCCATCTACCGAACAACCGACACCAGCTCTACTGAGGCTCACAATCAGTTGATTTACATACAAATTGAACAGCCTAGGTGACGTCAGCCCTCCCTGCCGTACTCCACACCCCAGGCTATAATCTTCGCTCAACGCATCATCCCATCTCACCACATTTTTCTGGTTACCATACCAATACTCGAACAATGCGATTAGCTCAGGCTTTAAACTGGTTTCGTTCCTAAGCTTTTGCCACAAGATTTTGTATAGCACTCGATCAAACGCTTTAGACAGATCCAAAAAAGCAAGCATATACCGGTGTTTTTCTATCAGTGTAATACCGCACAGTCTACTTGAGGCACAGTATTGCGCTCTCTGTTGAAAGTTCCGGTCCAAAACCAAACTGCGCATCGTGCTCTTGAAAAGATTTACGTAACTGCGCGTCAAGCAGACTGTCGAGGACTTTAGCTGTTATTGTTGCCAAGGATATCGGCCTATAATTGGATCTGTCCGCCGCATCGCCCGTCCTGTTTTTAATAATAGGCACTACCACTGTTCTCATCATAGCCTCTGGAAGATAACTGTGGCTTACACAAAGATTGTACAGTAGCCTGAGGACTCTGGCAATGTGCACACCCGCATATCTCAAATGTTCAACGCTGAGGCCATCGTGTCCCGGCGACTTACCACGTTTCATGTTTCTAATTGCATCATTCACTTCCTTGAAAGTGAAACGCAAGGGGCTAATCCCCGAGTTCACGATGTCCTCACCGTCGTCCAAGCTACAAACTATCTTGCTAGGATCCACTTTGAACTGAGCCTTGAACATATTGGCAATGTTTTCGCTTCCAGTTATGCCACCCACTTCAGCTGGAAGAGGCACCCGAGCGTTCAAGCCTTTCGTTTGCTGCCAGAACTCTCCGAATTTCTTCGCCTCACATGACATTGCCAATATGTCCATCTTGATTTGTTCCGCATTGTCTTGGCACCACTTAAGCTTGCTCTTAAAAGCCCTGCGCGAGTCTCGCATATCCTCATACAGAGCTCCACATGTCGGCCGTCCTGCCCAAACCCAGGTTTGAAAGCAGAGACGAGCCTTTATATGCGCCGGTCTCACATGTCTATTCCACCCTGTGATGTAGCCTTTCTTATTTCGTTTTAAACATTTATGGCTGTAACTCGCAGCATCCAGCAATATAGATGTAATATCGTCATACAATTTCTCTATGACTAAGTTGTGTTCCGGTTTGTCACACATCTTATCAGAACAATCCCTCAATTCCGGCGGAAAGTCAAGTAGCCTTAGCCTGCTATTACAAAATTCAGCATACAGTTTTATCTGATCACTATCTCTGTGACCCCAGATTACCTTATTATCCGCCGTGTACTGAGCTGACTTCACTTGAGGTCGGACTAAGTTGAATTTACAGTAAACTTCCAGAGGATAATGATCAGACCATGTCACATTGGTTTTAACATGTATGCTGTCAATATATTTGCTAGCCATACTAGTTGTAAGGCAATGGTCTAACCAGCGCGAACAGCCGTGACTATCACTAATATATGTATATACATCAGTATTATTAGATAAAAATTCATAATCAGAACATACCCACGCCTGCTCGCTACAAAACTGAGACAATTCATTAAAAAATAACTCTCCAGGATGTGCGTTAAAATCGCCTAAGATAAAAACAATATTAATTCCGCAGTCCTCGACAATTGCATTAATTTCACTTAGGCATTCTGTTAACTCGAAAAGATTATCGGTGCAGTCAGTAGGCATATACACCGAGAAAATTAGCATAGTATACTCACGAAGCTGGCATTTGATCGCACACAATCTCACACTGTTACATTTCACTACTGACACGGATGAAAACATATTTCTACGCCATAATAGCGCGACGCCTCCGTGTGGACGGCCGCGCAAAATACCGGGGCTTGTGTCTACAGCCGTTGTACCCGTTGCTTCGAAGTCTTTGTGTACAGTGCCAAGGTATGGAAGGTCAAAATCCATCAGCCAGGTCTCTTGAATAGCGACCACCGACGCTCCCTCGCATAAGCTTCTCACACAATCAACCGACCGCTTCAGGGACTTACAATTGAAACTGACTAACTTCAACGTCTGACATTTATTTTTATCATTAGTTTTGTGTTGGTCCATTAATATTTCGATCCTTATCTCGATTTACATTTGCCTTTCTTGCATGCCTAAAAAATATATAACGCCTGAAAAATATGCCCTCCGGCCATAATTCTTTATTACTAAATAACGACAGTTTGCTCCTAGGTATCAAAAACTTAAAGGAACTATAGTCCCTAGAAGATTTCATATTTATCTTTTCTGGTACTATTCTTATCTGAGTCTTTTGTTGTATATATTCCGCTACATCTTGTTCAGTATTTTCTTTTGAGACATTATATATATACAACGGGATTTGTGTGTCCGCTGCTTTCAATCTCGAAGTCGAGTCTGTCATCGCTGTACCTCTCTCACCTTTGAAACGCGATGTACGTGTTCCTCGACGCCTCACTACACGAACCCACTCCCCTTCACTATCATTCTGCATACCACCTTCATTCAAATCAACCGCCGCCGCCGGTATAACACTGCGCCGTGACGTCACCTCATCGGTTACTCGATGCGCGAGCGCTTCATTGTTCACAGTGCCCTGCCTTATAATATCATTTTCGCTCCGGACACTCTCGCTACGCACTCTATTTGTATAGTGCATAGGTGCGACAGGGATAGATGGTTCAGTTAACACCGCCGGTGCATCTCCCAGCATAGACGGTGACTCATGCACTACGCCCGAACTCCGTGACCTCATCGGAGGCGATGTGACATTCTCTAGGCCGGTCATTAACCCCGACTGCCCGCTATTACAATAATAACTTTCATTCATGCAATAACCGCCTCTTTTAGCATTTACATAGGGAGTATATTCTTTTAACTCAGAGTGAGATACCTTATCCCTAACATTACATTGCATTTCGCCTTTGCATTGCGTTTTATAATGTTCAAAATCATTTTTCGTGATAAAATCTTCTTGCTTCTCTTGCAAATCCCTTACCTGCTTCTGTATTACAAGTATATCCTTCAGGAGACGTGTAGCGTCGACGTGGTCAAACGAAACCGGCGGCAACTTTTTGGAGATCCTTTGCCACAAAAATTGGGATGTGTTCGGGATCAGTACCTTTTAATGCCGAAATTATATCGTCTATGTTTTTCTGCTTGCTGTCTTCCCCTTTCCTTTTTACCAACCGCTGCGGAATGGACTCGAAAAGCAGACATTTTGCTTTAAAGATATCTTCGTCATCAAAAAGACTGCCGGCAAATTAGAGCCAGGCTCACATTGTTCATTACATCTATTTTGTTTTGCACAAAACTAAGAACCTCATTCACCACTAAATTACCCTCTGTCTAACCGCACGCGCTGTCAGCTGGCGACTGATGCTGGCGACTGATGCTGGCGACTGATGCTGGCGACTGATGACTGATAACTTCGCTGCCGATCAAATTTCGGCTGCGGAGGATGGGAAGAGCGACGCCTCGCAATAGCGAAAGCTTCTGTGCTGTGATAACTAGCTGATATAGAAATGATAGGGAGAGCTGTATCCTAATTGTCCTTACGAGTCTTAGTTGGCTTCCTAGCAGAACCCTAGTTTCTTATCACCCAAACGGCCTTAGCCTAGCCACAAAGTGATTATGTGTATAATACACGAGCGTATATAATAATTTCTTATATGTACGCGAACACTACACATTTAAGTAATACCAAATTTTATTTTATTTTATTATTTAAATGTGTATTTTTTATTTTACGGATTTTATCTCATTTATTATTATAATATATGTAATATGTGTAAGTATTATTTAAATACGAGCGTATAGGGCATATATATCAAGGGCATGCTGTGGCCCATAGACATCTGTACATTTATTCTTAACTAGCATTTAACCGTGACTTCGACCGCGTGGAACCAAAAACTACAAAAACTTTAGTACAACTTGAACCAAAATATTTAAAAATCGAGTTTGCACCAAAATTTTAAGACTTCCCAATCCCCCATATTTTTCGGATTAAATGTAGTCTAGATAACTCCTGAAATTCCTCTATATCTGTTCGTGAAGTTTCATTACGTTCGGTTTAGTAATTCCGAAGGTTGGCTCTGACAGAAGACATATAGACACACAGATATTCGTTTAAGTGGTTATTTATAACATATTATCATGCTAATAGCTATCTGAGCTTAATAGACACCAGTTTTTTTTCATAATAAAGACAGATTTTTTATATTATATATGTTTTATATATATCTCGGAAATACATCGGGAGGTTAATTTTTAAAATAAAATAATGGTGTTAGAGAGGAGGTTCAACTTGCTCTCATTCTTATTCAATTAATCATTATCAGCAAAAAAGATACAGCATATTGCACTATACGTTCAGTATAGAGCAATCAAAGTCCGAGCGTACCATAATATAGCTTCGTCACAATTAAACAATAGTGTAATATGAGGGACGTTAATACATGATAACATTAAAGTATGCAAACCAACAGCAACACCATCTGTCTTGGCTGCACTAGAAGAATTACTACAAAAGACTGAACCATGATACTTTCATTCTACGAGTCCTTATCACACGTGTAATTACTTAGCGGAATCTCTCGTGCACGGCGCCCACAGTGAATTTTATACTGTACAAACGAATGGGCGTTTCTCGATATACCCTCAATTCTACCTCACCACCATCATTATAGACATTCTACCGCTAGAGTGATGCAACCTCTCGCTCCCTCTCGATCCAGTCAGATATAAAAATATGTACGAAAATATGTTTCATTGTTACCACGCTTGGCAAGTGGGTTAGAAAGGAAGTGGTAATCTCTTTACTTGTAACTTGGAAAGAAGATTATACAGCCAGTTTCCAGTGATGACATATAGATCTCAGACATTGTTGTTCACTGCTGACTATACAAGGTAGCTCAAGGCTGATCAACCAGCTGTAGAGAGGGCTATGCTCAGAGTTTTAATGCGTGATAGACGTAGAAATGAGGATGTCTGCAGTAGAACCATAGTAACCAACATTGCCCAACGGATTAGTAAGCTAAAGTGCCAATGAGCCGGACGTATAGCTCGAAAAACCAACAATCAACAACAATAAAATAAATAAAACGCGATAAAATCCGTAAAAGTAGTTTTAATCAATTTAATCAAACCAACAACCATTGAGAAAGAAAGGTTCAGGTGGCCCTCCACTAGATGGAGTGATGGAGTGATCTGGTAAGACATGCAAGAAGTCAATGGATGCAGGTGGCACAGGTTCATGCCTTGTCAGAGGACTTGTGAGGGGCTTGAATGAGGATGATGATGAAAAATATGTGCCGGATTACTGTACAGTGAGACTTATGGTAACAGACGAAAAGTGAAATCAGTATAGCAACAGATATCGGATTATATCACTGCCATTCAAGTATTATTACGAGACCGTGATTTAGCTAAAGGTGAAAAGACCATAGTAAGAGTTGAGTCGGATTACTCGACTCACACGCCGAGAAAAATAATTTTCAATGAAACAGCTTCGATTTTCAATCCAAAAACATTTTAAATTATTAATAACCGTACTATTTAGAATTACTTAGTTTTATGTGTGAACGAAATTGGTGATTTACCCAAAGATAAAATTTGTTAACAATTTTCTCCACTGATCCGTCTCTATCTTGTTTTTCCTTTCTTAGATTTGAAAGAGCTAACGAATAAACACGGGCTACTTACTGGACCAGCATTATACCTATCATATACCTTAAAATATTGACACAAGTTATTAACCCGTCAATCTCCATAAATTCCCATGCAGTCGCATGCACCTGGCAAATCCCGATCGGTCGCATGTGACCGCACCCACCCACAGCAAATAAAACCATTAAAACTTATATTTGGAGACTACTTTTCTATGAAGAAAATTAGTATTATAAAATCCATGCAAAATTCTCTATCCTGTGGTCTAAACAAAAGTTAGGTTTTACTTCATTACTAAAAGATTTTATTGTATCATGATAACAAAAAAAAAATATCAAGCGGATGTCGGCAGCGTGAAAACCACAATTATTTATATATATTACTCGAAATTATTTACGTAAAAAGATAAGTTATATTCACACAAAAACTTTTATAACAATTTTATAATAAACACTATAGTAAAACACTAATAAAACACTAGAAAAATCCAAAAAGTAACACAACAACATCCAAATGAAAAACGGCGTACGTAATGAACGTAGAATATAAATTAATATCCATAGACTAACTGTTTTTTATTCCACTAGAGGATAGAAAATTTCATATTAATTTTATCATGCCAAACTTCTTTACAGAAAAGTAATCTCTAAGTAATATGGGATTGCGTGGGTGGGGTCATGACCTTTGAATTTTGATGGACATCGAAGCGTCAAATTTGGCGCTTGGCGTTGAGAGGTTAAAAAAATTAGCTGTAATTTACTATGTGCTCGGTGGCAAAATACGGCATTGTGAGGAAATCGGTATATCTATGAAAAAAAAATATTTCGCGACCATGTGAAATCCACCAATACGCACTGGTGTGAACTGCACTATAAATATTTAACCTTCTCAAAATTGAGAGAAGATCTGTGCTTAGTATTAGGCTGTAATTTGACTCGTTAAATTAAAGTTCTCAAGTGGCTGCATCCAACCGATAAGCGCAGTACAGGAAAACTCCTCAAAGGATAGAGGTAAGACTTGATAATGTTTTCGAATCGACATAAAGTGAAGGGACTCTTCACTGTATTGTAAAAAATTAGAATATTATATCAAAAGGGTCACGTTTGGTTTGATTTACAATGGTGTGTTAGTCTAAAGGCGAAAGTTGGTAATGGCAGAAGAAAATGAGATTACAGTTAGAGTAGTCGAAATTCGTTTATTAATAGGTATGTAAGATTTGACTCTACATGAAAGCTTAAGAATAGTGTGATATGAGAAAAGTTTACCAGGATTAATAAAAGAATGCTTCGGTGCTTTTAACATACAGAAAGACTGAATGAGGAGAGAGTAAGTGTCAAAGTCTGAAATAGACACCTTAAATGGAAGTTTATCGATAATGAATGATATTGATGGTATTTTAAAGACTAACGATTCGTCACGGTTTCGCCTGGGTTGGATCTATTTATGTGGCGTTATTTAAATTTAAGATAGTCGAAGACTATTTTATTTTATAAATTTTTCGTATTTTCAAAAGAAATGTCCAAATTTTTCTCCCCTGTATTACGCTCTACCTGTACGTTAAGTTTCATAATTATTTTTTTTTAGCCATTCCAAAAATTAGTCTAAACAGAAACTCAGACTTTTTAAGTGGTTATATATGTCATGGTATGCAAATAACCTTCTCAGCTCAATATTAAGAATTTTCCTTTATATGACAGACAGACTTAATTTTAGAAGAAATCATTAGACTTAATTTTAATTTTTTAATTTATATGTTTAGATAGATCAAATAAAGAGATGCCTTAATCGACGGGCATGTTTGTGTAAATATATGGATGTAAGAGAATCAAGAAAGGTGTGTTAGAATCGTACCGAATACTTTTGAACCTTTGGACGGGCGTGAGAGTGGATTTTATTTACCTAACTTATGATGACAGCAATTATGGCCGTACATAAATATTACGACGTACTCGCCTTCAATCCCCAACACCACGATTAGATTTTTAAGAGCGCTTGATAATATGTTCATCATAGAATACAGTAGAAAGGCTGTTAACCTTATTTTGTACGAAGATCGGCGTCGCCGGGAGCACACATACAAGTAATTACGTCGTATTATCAGTTATCACTTCTACAAACCCGATGCGTTGTTGTAGACAGACTGAGCGAAGTTACACATAAGACTTTCGATTAATGTTTTTGACACATAAATATTTCTTTATTGTTGTTTCAAATGTTCACAAAATTTTCAACTTACTGGTTTTAGAA